TTTTCTTTCCAAATCCTTACTATCCTCATAATTTTTCCTCTACTTCTTTTGTATGTTTGTCACACTCTTGTGACCCGCTATTTCCGGGGTGCCTTGATAGTCGAAGCAGACTTTGTGCTGTTGAAGCTAGAGAGGTGAGCAGAGTAAGCCTGATTCCCTGTAAGGACTTCTTTGTTGACATCCACCCCTTGGCGTTCAAATGACCTTATGCAGTTGCGAGCGCCATAAAACCTCTACTAAAACAAAACAAGACCCCGTACTCTAGTATGGAGGCAAGGACCATCTCAAAAAGATCAAAATTTTGCCTGTCCTTTTTCTCTTTCAGTGCCTCAAGGGAGCCCTCTTTCCCACACATCGCAATTCTCTTCTCTCTGCATCTCTTTTTTCTCTTTTTTTCTCTTATTCTCTTTCTCTCTCTCTTGCTCGCGTGCACTATGTCTCTTATACAGCAGCTACAGTGTTTGCGCTCCTTATTTTCCTTCCCTGGCTGTGTTTCCAAAACGTACTAGACTGTTGATCAGTTATCTCCCTCCCTATAGTAACTAAAAACAATTATTATGTCACTTCTAATGTGGGCTCATGTCCAGTTATGTAATAACAATATGCAGATACTTAGTACAGAACATTCAAAGAAAAATGAATGAATATTGCCAAATAACACCGTCATATTCAATTTTGCTTACGGTAGTTTAATCAACTTTTTTTTTAAAGTCACACAAATAGCTACCAAGAATTATAAAGTTCAATCTGACATTTTTGGCTGTTTTGGGTTACTAAGACCATGAGGTGAGAAACCAAAATGCTCTATCAATTTCGTAAGATTATTTGCAGTCATTATTAAGATAATATTCAAAGAATTGCATTCGAAAACGCTTGACATGATGTGAAACTCAAAATCTTTGAAGTAAATTTCCCGAAACTAGGTACTGAGTAGATAGAACTTTGTAATTCTTAGGTAGCGAAATGGCAATTTGGTTCTGGGTTGTCCTTGAGTTCGTTCAGAAGTCTGTCTCTCGCGACATGTTGGGCCAGGTTCGCCCTGACCTGGTCGTGTTGTTGAGGAAGGCTGTGCGCGTACCGATGGAAACGCTGCTGAAACTGGCCCCGGAGTCGGATCTTTGCAGCCACGGGTCTGATCTGGAAGAGCGGGAAGTTCACGAGAAGTAGGAGGCGGGATTGGGGGGTGAGGGTGGTGGTGATGGGAGTTGGAGCAAAAGCGTATAATTACGAGTTGTTATTCTGATCAACAATAGGTTATGATTTTGAGTTGTTATTCCGATCAATAGGTTATAATTATGAATTGTTGTTCTGACCAATAGTTTATAATTATGAGTTGTTATTCTAATCAATGAGTTATAATAAATAGCTTGACTGGAGTGCGCTGGAGAACACAGACGGTTACAGAAGTATCAAAAGCATGGCCATTCGATCCTGCCGAGATATCACTAGAATACCTGGAGGTGTCATCTTTGGCTCAGAGATTGACGTGCAATGACCTTCTGTTGTTTACGGTACCGTAATATTGTACTAAACAATAAAAACAAGAACGGTGTGCTCCTAATTTTAAGTCATCTCAATATCATTATTACTTTTCGTGTATTCCTGTGCACCTATAACCGTCGTAGCGGGCTATGAGCAGAGGATACATGGGTTTATTATGTGAAGCTTTCGCAGACTCCAAAATATCTGTTTAAAGGACGACTTCGACAATAAGGAAATAAATGTGGAATTTGGCTAATCTGTAGGTGTAAGCCTTATGTCGTTGCTCCTGCTACTGCTGCTGCTGAAGAGGATGATGATGTTAAAGAATCAAGGCAGGAAATCGAATTGATGAAACGGCATGAATACTAAAATTGTAGTACTGGTAAAGTAATGCCGTGTGGCATTTTGTGAGTGTTATAATAACCCATAGTCCTGTTGAGAAAACAAAAGTACTCACTTCAAAGTGGGCTTCTCTTTGTGACGCGGCTCTGCCCAGGAGTCACTGCTGGAGGAAGCACGTGACCTCAGACCATCTGGTGTGGCTGTGCCGGACATCTGACCACGCCGTGGGGTCGGGAACTCAGACAGGGGGCTAATGCCAGGCTCTGAGAGAAATATCAAAATTGATAAAGTTAAAACAAAAAAAAAGGTCTTTTAATGGCAAGTAAGTATCATGAGTACTTGATATTGTGGTC